TCATCAGTCCAATTCTCTCTGCTATTTTTTTTCATCTCTCTTCTGCCATACTACCCTCCAGCATCAGACAGTGCTGGAATCTTTATTCTGCTGTCATGGTCCTAGTACACCTAAGAAACCCTGATCCAGGTCTCCCTTTGAACAGAGGGGGAGCAGGACAGGCTCAAATAAGAAAATCCTGTTCCACAGACACTGGCAACACCAGGAAGGCACTGCTATTGCAATTTTGGACGTGCACAGTCAGCACAGGGCATTACTGCACACACACAGAGGCTTTAAGTAAATTATAGGTTTAGGTTACTACAATTTCACAGTATATTCTTAATTACCTACATTTTTCTTTTTATGGAATGCAAAGATATTACAATGCAGTTAATCCTATAAAAATCATACAAACTGATGCCTTACTTCATTAAAACTATTTTTGGAGCATTTTTTTAAATGCAGCTCGCCCAATGAATATGGCCAGAGTTACCTCTACTACTACTATTCAACAGAGATGGTTTTTAGTCAGCCATATCTACTACATCCTCTTGATCCTGTATGACTTGCCTCAAGATGTTCTTGAGCATAGACTATAGCTATACTGGAAGACCCATCTGTCTTCCCATGACTATTCTTTCAACACAATCATATCATACATTAACTGCCCGACCCCCCAGCAACCGATGATATGGCTATGCAACAGTCTTCCATCTTAAGACTAGATTGCAACTATAGTAGGTAAACTAGTATGGCAGGAAAATATGAAGCGTTAGTTTTAAAGGAATAGGATTACAATCCCATCGTCAAAATATTAAGTAGAAATGAAATTATGCAGTATAGTTGCCAACACTTAGGGCAGTACGGACTAAAAAATGTTTCCGTTAATTTCAACACAGTGTTTCTTCTATGTCTGAGTATAATCTAAACATTGGAGCTGCTCCTTATTAACCAAATTAATCAAAACCTGATTCACATCAATTTGCTGTCACCAAATACAATGGCAAAAGGCATGCAGTGAGGAGAACACCACAGTTCACCTGATAATGAAGACTGATCATTTAACAACAAATGTTAAAACATTTGTGGCCTTTCCGGTGGAAGGGAAACAGAAAGAGGAAAGTTTTTTTCCAGATAGAGACATTTTACTAGTTAGGAAGTCAGTTACTGAACAGTCACATTTTGTCAACTACCAAATAGAAGCTCATATTTCACTAACTCCTTCCAGCAGAAAGGGAAAAGAAGAAAATGTATAGATACAGGGGTAAAATACCCCTTGTCTTACAAGCAGCTTCAGTGGAAATACATTACAGTCTTACCTTTCAGGAAGTATTTATGGATTTTGACCCTCCTATATTTTATTTAATCATTACTATTTTATTTAAAGGTACATTTAGATGCTTAGAGTTGCATTAGAAGTTCTTACTGACACCAGAAAGCAAACCAATTAAGGCCACTATATTGCCCTATACATTCAGTGTTCTACAATGCTATACTGGTTGCTGTAGCAATTTCATCAAGTTTGAGTTTACAAATATATTCAAATCAAAACAGTGAAAATCATAATTTCAAACATTAGCAATAACTTACTACTCTTCCCATAACTGCAGGATTGCAGTTGGTCCTGAGATCCTCCTAAGCTATTAACATTATCTGACTGGTACACTGAAGGTGAAGACGACTGATTATTGCTAGACCTATTAAAAAAAATAATCAGTGACATGTCAGTTGCAGAAAGTTGCAAAATAATTTTATTCAGAAAACAGTTTTTAGTTGTTACAACTTAACATACCATCTAAAATAAGATTTCTTTTTTGTTACTTATATTAATCAGTACCTTGGCAATGCTGGCAACAAAGATTTAGGTGTAAAAACAAATTGTTTGAGATCCACACTTTGAGCTTGATTTAACATCTGCATCTGAAGAAATCAGATTATTGTAACTGGTAAAATATAAACATATTTAAAACTGTTGTTTTTTAACAACCTTAGTGACATCACTAACACTGTATCAAATTAGCATAATTTTTAAAGATCATACATAAAATCTTCCTGATGTCTGCTTATCTAATGTAATCAGCTAAAAAGGTTTGAGTTACATGTTTCTAGTGGAGTTACCCAAGTCCCCGGGCAAAGTCAGGCTGGTTATTACTAACTCTCGTCTGTATTAGCCATAGGCGAAATCATTCCCTATTGCAAACAAACAAGCAAACAAAACTGTGAGGAGGAAATAAAACACTCCAATGCCATTCTCGCTGGAGAAAGAACTAGTTTAGTACTACATTCAAAGGGATAAAGCACAAGCCATGAAATCTTTCAGAGGTTAAAAACTAACACAGTTGGTTTTCTTATAAACAAGTGGTTCTACCTGTCAATGCAAAAAGATCTCTTAGTAGCATTACTCTGATAAATACCACTATTTGTTTTCATTGCAGCTGTATTTTGCCAAAACCAAGTTGCACTACAGTGCCTTCCAACGATGCCCCTGTACCTCACCCACCATAATCTATCAAATGGCATAGAAGTAAGAACAAGGGCTATGTGCACAGAAGTGGAGCATTGGAAGCTGTTCCAAACAGCAGCAGAACCTCTCAAAGATTCCTGGACCTTTGATACCTTTGTACTTCCTTGCTTTTTGCATTCCACACAGAAAAGTCAAATTTGAATGCTCATATTTAGTTATAAAATTCTCTCTGAAAACAAATATATACAAATACATAACAGATTAAATTAAATCTAGTCAATGGCTGACTGCATTCAAATGAACCTTTAGCCGCTTTACTGGAGGTACAGATGAAATTGAGTTCCTGTTCCTTAAATCAGCGAGGTACAAAGAAAACTTTGAATCTCCATTCATCTCAGACTTTGGAGGTACTCCAGTTTTACCTGAAAAAAGGAATTAAAATAATATTCAGATTAGTTTAGAAGGGATAAAGCCTAATTCTTTCAGATCAATAGAAACTTTGCCACTAAGCTTAGTATCTTTTAATAAAAGATCCTAAAAGATTTAACGTGCTAATTAAAAGATTTAACACGCCAATATGTATATGAGCATAACGAGCTTGACATTGCTCTTAAATCATATGCTAGGTGTTCTGAAAAATATAATTAATCATTGTAGTGCCTATGGAAGTGTAATCGACAAAGCTTTTATTACTGCTTTTATGACTGCTTCACAGCAACAACTCATGCCTGACTCTTGTTTACGTTGCTTCTGTTAACGTAGCTATTGGTATAAATGAAGCTTTTCTAAATTATCTTCATCTAAAAGTAACAGAAATAGTAGATTTAATGAAACTCACAGCAGTCGTGTCCACACACATCTTTATTTTTACAGCGATGGTTGCATTCTCTGTTTCCATATTTCTTGTAGGCAATCTCCTGTTTAGATCTGCCTCCTAGATAAATATAATACAGAAATGCTCATTTTTTATTTCATATGTATGGTTGAGAGAGTGCTTCATGCAGTAAAAGATGGGCTAGAAGTAATCTGGGCCACTAAAATTACGTTGCCGTCAACAAAAGTTTGAGCTGCTCTAACAATGTAATCAGAAAGAAATTAATCAATGCTACTGAAAAAGAGAGGCACTACTACATTCCCAAATCCAAGCAGTAATATTAGATACCAGACATTATTTTCAAAATCAAATTGCACTCTGGTACTTGACAAGTGGAAGCAGCGACACTGTATTTTTATTATACTTGAGAAAGGAACAGTATGGATAAATCAAGATCCAGCTTACTGAAAGCAAAATTCCATTTTCTGTTGACTTGGTATTAGCCAGGTGTTGTGATCTGTTTACCTGTATCTACTTTGGCTGCTGGCAGACTTTGTGGTGAGCCATAATAAATATCAAGTGAAGACTCAGCTTGCAGTTTTTGGTTTGTAACCACTTTACTTCCCCCTGCTTTCGGTGTTAAGTAAAAGGCTGTATATGCTTGCTGTATATCAAGGCCAACTTTGAAAAAAAGATAAAAATATTTAAAATTGACACTGAGGGGACCAATGTTTAAATCTACACATGTTAAGGCACAAAATTTTCCACTGTAGAAATCTCTTGCTACTGGAGATGAATCCATATCTAGTATTTTTTTATCACAATGCAAAACCTGCATTGACAAAGACAGCTCTTCCCAGCCTAAATAACCTATCAAGCTGATAGGTTATCCACACTGAAAGTTAGTTCCACTTGAAGGCAAAGGGCAAAAGAGAATCCTAATCTGTATCAACAGAGCAAAACAGTATCACCTAGTAACAGTTTTGATGTTTCCCACTTCATTAATATCCTAGTAAATGAAACAAACAGATACGTAATTAGGACTGCTAGGGAATACTCGAGCTGGTAGAAAACATGTAATAGAATTTTGTTTCCAGATCAGTTAATTTTATTATATTTTTGGCTTGATATAAAGTGGCTTAATAATTTATTCAAAATTCTTAAGCAGTTGTTTTTAAATTAAAAGCATACCAGTCAACCTACCGTAGTCAGAACTGATTAAATTTATACTAATGTCCTCTGATTTGAGAGCTCTTTTCACTTCAATTTTCTTTGTCCAATTTCCGGTTTTCAGCAGCACAGAATCCCTGCAAGGTATCAGTAAAGTTTTGTTAGACATGGACAATGAAAACAAGACTGTATACTGTGGCATGTGGAAACAAGTGAAAGAGCCTTGGGACTTAGTTCTTGGGTTTTGCTCGATAAGTGGCCTAAGAATAACCTTCTAATGATATATGATTTGTGGCCATAGGAGAGCCAGGATCCTGCAGATGAGTTTCAGTTCTGCCAAAGGGGCCAGACTTCAGCCAGAACTCACATGAAGGTCACGCAGTTGGAAAAGATTTTGTTTCTCTTTTCCCATTTGTTCCAAGCATATCTTAGCCAACTGGAGAATTTAATTCCATCTCTGAGTTGGAATAATAATGATATAATTAAAGATAGATAGCTAATAAGAGTAAGTAACAACTTGAGAATGTATCTTTTTAATAGGTTCCATTTGTTCCATATTTATGTGGAAATGATTATGACTTCCATAATATATGACATCAGTGCTGTACAGATATTTACACATACTCTGTACTGACAAGCACACTGGCATGTTTTGGGGGTTCCTGAATCTTGTGCAGCATTTTAAATGACAAGAGTGACTAGAAAATACTGTAGGATAAAGAATAATTTTGTACCATTTGGCATCAGTAGTAAGTATGGCAAAACCCGCAAGTTACAGAAAGGATTAAAAGCCAACACCCTTTAAAGATGCGAGGCAAAAACCCCTGATCATACATACGTAATTTTCTGATTAAAAATGACTTGGTTGTCAGCATCTCCTATGACCAAGGTAACATAGTGAAAGTCTGTTGCTGTTCTCTTTGTCTGTAGCTGCTCATAGTTTTTTAATTTGATGGTTACTAAGATTTCAGCCAATGTATCACTGTATTTTGGAAGCTAGGAAAAAATTATAAGAGAAGATGACATAACTGCTAAAATATGCAAAGTAAAATATATGCCCTTCCATAAATTTTTAAATGTTGATACAAGCACAAAAGCTTCATTCAAGCAATTTCAATTTGTGGTACAATTTTTATTTGTTGTTCTGAGACACTATTATACAGTACTAACTTGCCCATAGCTGAATATCCTAAATTTGACTGAGAATAAAAGACAGTCTACATTAAGCCCCTGAAAAATCCTCCTCCGTTCAGTGCAAAGAGGAAGATGCAAGAAAAAAAAACTTAGGTATATTTTGGCATCCCAACATTCCTCTATAAATTATTTATAATTGTCAAATCTTTCTTTTGAGAATAACTTTAGAGACACCCATCTGCTATTATATCAAATGAAAAACTGAAATAGAACTAATCATTATAACAGTATTTCACACATTTACTGAGTTTTTAAACATCAGAGGTATCTTCATGTGTACCAACTTCATGAGATACTTTAAGGCTATTTTTTAAATTTTGCATTTCAGCCAGGTAGAGTGGCTATGTGACCTGTTTAAAGCCAAAATGCATATCGGAACCTCAAAGCTCTTGATTGCACATGGAATTGCACCTTTCCTTTGAAAGGGTAGCAACTAAGTTAATGTAATAATTTACTGTTCGCTTATATTCCTAAGCATGACGTAGAAAATAAACACGAGCTAATGCTTCTTCAGTAAGTTTTATATGGATGTTTTTCTGTCTCTAGGGCTTATTTATATTCAAGATAGAAGAGAGCTCTCAGACTCACATATAATGCTAGAATGTGGAATATACTGGTTTGCACCTGTAACGTAAAATGCTATGAGAGAGAGAGGCCAATGTATTATAGAGAATGTCTATTCCAAGGCTCTCCTTCAATGTTCAAGAGTTTGAATATATGTGCTAAGGTGGAAGGAGACCACAATATTGTGTAATCTTCTATCAGCAAAGGTCCAAAATTTCTTTAAGTCAGTATTTACTCTTTCATTTAATAATGTCAGCATAAAACCATAAAATAAATAGAAAAAGCATTTACCTGTTCAATGTCAAGTTCGTATTTTGGAAGGTGCAAAACAGATTCTTTTATCTGGTTTCCAAAAGGAGGATGTCTGTTTAAAATCTGCAAAGATTTAATTTAATTTCTGATACAGTCAGCTGATCGGAGATGCCAACAGAAATGTAAATCCAAGTCACCAGAGTAATTATGCTATCAACAAAAGCCCTTATTGCTCCTGGTTCTCTACTGTCAGTCATGCCCAGAATAGCAACATAACCAAGAGAAAATGCCAATACTTTTTCACATTGTTACCAATTCTGTTGAGGTAACAGCCCATGAACTAGCCAATGACAACAAAACCTGACCACTCAGGTTTTATATGAGATGACTCTTCTATGTTGCCCTAGTTTTAGTCAAAACAAATCACAGGAAAACTGCAAAAGGAAGTGGAAAAGAGAAATCAAATTCCTAAAGCCCAAACCAGAAAAACCCAATTAAGATTGACGTCCTTTAGAAATACGTTGTATCTTCCAGAACACTGGAAAAACAGTTTCCTCAGAAAAGATGACAAGGGCCAAAGAACTTGTCCTGGGGTAAAATCTAACTTCCCTAAAATAAGAAGTGCTTTATGGATGGTTCAGAAGAATTTGATTCTATGACTATCTTTAACTGAAACTTGCAATAATGGAAATTCAGGATGTTCATCATTAACATACATTAAGAGAAATTTTAAATACATATTCCCTTTTATATTTTTTCTAATACTCCTAAAAGGGAAATGCATATTGTCTTTCGTTTCGAACCATGTTAATGATTAAATTCTACATATTTAAGCAACTGCTTCCCAAAACCAGCCAAAAATCAGTAAAATCATCCACATTAAATTCACTAGAACAAAACATCATACACATTTTCAAGGAAAAATAGCAGTAGCCACATATTTTTCTTTAATTCACTAATATAAATGAATAAACCACTTAAACTACTCAATTTTGTTGACAATCATATACCAGATATATATTAACCACCAGTAACACTTTTACTGGTAACAATATTTTTCTTATCATATTTATCTGCATACAAAATAATAAATTACCAATTCAAGTTCCCTTGCATTTGTCTCTTCTATTTTTTTAAATGATGTCAGCCCAGCATTTACCATAGCATTTGACAGTGATACACCTGTGAAAAATTTAAGTTTTATGCTATTAAATGACAATTACTAATATCAAATTATTCTCAACAACTGCATTATAGCAGGTAAACCAAAGCAGAAATCATTTTATAGTATGTTAGTCCCAGCTTTTTGCCCAGCAAATCACCAAATTTCTTTTCAGTTGATTAAATATTTTAGTATTATTTAACAACTCATCCATTAGTAAAAAGAAATGCAATACAAATCAAGCATGCAAACATTCAATATTTCAATACTGACAATTTTTAGTTACGTTTTCTAGAGTAAAACAGGTTTTAGATCACTTTCTACAAGAGTCAAGAAACGTGTTCTGCATATATATGATGAAAAAAAGCACATCACACAGCATTCTTTGTCTCAGAACTTTTTTCCCTATCCAAGGAATTATTTAACTATGTTAAAGTCATAAGGATCTCAATGTTTCTGAGCAGGCTAACAATGAAATTCACTCAAAAAAAAATATTTATTATAATCTTCTAGGAGTCTCTGCAGATTTAGCAAAAAAATTTCCCATGGCTTTATCCAACAAAAGCAGACTGGCAGAGAATTCCACATGCAATCTTATTTCTCCTCATGACTCCTAGTTCTTTCAAACTTCTAGTGAGACTTAGAGTCATCAGAGGTTATGAAAAGGCAAGTCCCCTACCTGGAACTACAGCCTGCTACAATAACTGCAGTAATTTTGGATAAAAGATATTACCAAATACTTAGAATGAGTATGTGGATTCTTCATGCGTAATTCTGTAGAAACAGTAAAAGAGATCTGAAAATTAAGTGGGAAACCTCCCGAGAGACTCTTAGGTTGCTTCTTGGAAGATGTTACAGCAATCTTATAAGAAAAGACTCATTTCAACTCAAGAATTTAATGATTTAGAGAAACAGAAGACCCTTCATCCTTTTACGTATATTTGAACACCTTTTGGGTCTAACTTAGAGAAAGCATCTTCTACCATTTCCTGTCTTTTGCAGAAGCTCTGCAGTCTGAAGATTCCCTACTTGCTGCTTCTGCAGCTACATCAGTTAGAGCTGGTGCCTTGTTTCTTTATCAGAGAAACTAAAGCCTAGTTCTTTTGTCCTAATTCCTAAAATGGCAGAAGGGTTTCCACCAGTGAAGAAAATACAAGATACAAATAAGACTTTTTCTCTTTATCTATTTCTCAGCAAGAAAATAATGGAGGTGGAAATCAAACTGAACAAGTAGTAAAGGTGATAAAGTCTTGTGTAGTAAAGGTGATAAAGTCTTGTACAGCAACTGATCATTATCCTGTCTGTCAGAACAAGCAAACAGAAATTAAGCACATCATACAGCAACAAGAGGGAGCAACATTATTGGACAAGAGTAACAAATCGAGATAGTCACAGAAAGGCAATAAGAATTCAACTGATTCCTCAATCTCAGTAAGGCCAAATGTCGGTTAAAGAACAATCACTCTTATAAAGGAAATACTGATTACTAAAGCATCTTTAAGATTCAGAAAATAACATACTGACATAAGAATTTTAAAATCAGGGATTTCTAAATATGTTATGCAGTATCAGTACATTTCTGTGAGCTCAAACAATTCACTTAACTTCACAAAGGGATAGAATAGGCTCAGCAGCCATAGCGTGACAGCAGTCAAGAATCAGACATCATCCTATAGTTATCAATTCAGTATTTGATTCAGGAAAAGAGTGAACTATCAGCAGACGGTTCCAAAGAAGCCTGTGAGTGGAATAAATGGAACTTTGAAAGTTAGCAATTCTTTGTAACATATGCTGCAAGAGCAATGACAGCATAGGAAAAAGAATACAAAAAAAAAAACCAAAACCAAAAAACAACAACAAAAAAAACCAGAACATAGACGTATATATAGCACTTCTATTAAAAAAATAGAACTGAATTTATTCTATTGAATATAGTGTACAGGAAAGGATTTTTCTACACTGCAAGTGCCACGTTTACTCCACTAAACCTAAACCCCTAGAAATGCTGAACATGAGGCAGACTCCTCAGGTGACCACGTGCACTTGGCACAGATCCAGAAGTAGTGGACATGGGGTCCCACCATGCTGCACTGTGCTGTGCACAAGCTAACAAGCCCTGACTCTTGCTTTGAATCCACGTGAATGGCACGATACAGCTTTTGCACCTGAGCTAGCAAGGCTGTAATATACTGTACCACACAGATCTCCTGGCTTAGCTATTCTCCAATTGCAGACGTCTGTACCACACCGTTCTGTACAGAGCAGATGTGTCTTTAAAGAAGAAATACAGAGAACACTGCAGTGAATTCTGAAAGCATGAAGGTATGGTAAGACCAAACATCATCAGAGCAGGAACCTCAAGCAAGCATAACTACATTTTTGTACTACAGAGGACTCCAAAATTTCTGAAATCCTTTTCAAATAATTAGGACAAGTCTGTACTTCCAGCCAGAAGTTCATCCAGTAACATGATATAATGATAGGAAGAAGATTATTAGAAATTTGTGATCCTCATGTGTATAAGAACCTCATGCACAGTAAATTTATTTCTATTTCTTGATTTCTATCCATGTCAATGCAAATTAAAAGGCTTTCATGCTTATAAATAACAGGACCTACAGTGACAGCGGTTTGGAAAGGAAGGCATAGCCTAGTTGGAGATACGCAATCGCACAAATGTGGAGTATGCCCAAGATATGGAGATGAACATTAAGAAAAAAGAAGAACTCTCAAGTACTTTGAAAGCCTGGAGAAAATTACTAAACAGTTTACTTTTACTTTTATCATGACAGACCATTATGACAACTGTGGTACTCAATTATGCCAAATGAGTAATTAGGAGACTCATTTAGTTACGTAACCAGGCACCCCAAAAATTAGCAGGCTAATTATGAGGTTTGATTCTGTATCAGATTACACCTTTATCATTTCTGACTAGTACCTACCAATTTTTTCCAATTGTTTAGACACGTGACGAGAATTTTCCCAAAGTTTGCACCTGAAACACTTTGCTAAAATCAAAGAGTTTAATAAGGCAGAAAAGTTGTTCTTACATGATGCCAGAAAGTCAGATAACCCTGTAAAAATAAGATCGACTTGTATTAATCAAATAAAATGTAGCTTCTTATTATATGTACTAAAAATTAAAATTTTACCATACATCTAGTAACTCTTAAGCCATTTCTAAATATTCTGCCAGTATCTTGTGTCAAAGTAAAGTCTTGAATAGGAATGCATCCTAGCTGAGCCTGAATAAGACTGGAAAAAAATATTCTTTGGTATACAAGCCATACTGTAAGCAAAGAATAACAACATGAAAGTTTCCACTGGAAAATAAAATTCAGAATAGAAACAATGAAATGCAAGTTCTGGCCCTCTATAAAATGATACAAATTTTAGCAGGGACTTCAACAGTCATAAAACAACAGCTTTTAAATAAAAGGTAACAAAATAATATAATATTTACCAGTTTATTTTCATTTCTCTTGTTTTTATCTTCCCCTCCATTGGAAACCTATGCATGAAAACATACATATTTTGTGCTACTCATTTTATTTATTGCTAAAAAGATACTTTCCTTTTTCAGTGTATTTATTTTTTTATACCTGATAGTTATTTTGTCCTTGTCTTTATTCAAAGTGTTCAGTATTTTCTTTTCATTTGTTCTTAACTTGACATCCAGAAATTCTGTGCAGTTGGAGATCATTGTAATCTGTAACAATTTAACATTTTTATTGTTTTTCTTTGCCATTTTTTCTACCACTTCTTCCAACTTTTTAAAAAAAAAAAAGCTTTTAAAAAAATGTGATTGTCTCAAACACCATGACCATGAAAAGATGGTCAATCAGTTCTTTCTAATACTGACCAACTTTCTTTTATATAAAAAAAGGGGAAGATTTTTCTTTTAGTTTTTAGAGTACTATGCCAATTGAACTTACCCAACATCAACCACACTGGTAACACTTTATGACATACAAGACAACTATAAACAGTCTTTGCTATCTGTTATGTACTCCACTTTACTTTCGTCATCCTTTAGTAACAAAGATAGCCGTAGGAAAACAGGCATTCCATTTTTTCATGGCCAATCTGTTCTACCATAGTATTTGCTTGAAAACAAAATGCCTTTTGTGACTTAACGGTAGCAATAACAACCTGGTATCTTACAGAGGAAAATGACTTAAAACAGAAAGACAAAAACTTTCCCTTAAAAGTAATATCAGCTCTGTGTGCAGCTGCTTTTTGCAATAAAAAGTAACTACTAAACCAGAAAACAATAGTGTTTAATACATAAACAGAACAGCTTCAGCAACTTTATATCTTCATATGCAAGGTTAGTGAGGGGAGAAAGAGTTGGAAATCAAAAGATCTCAGAGTACAAAGCCTCAAGAACACTCCATATGGAATTTATTTACATGTATTCTCTAAAACTTTATACTTTATATAAACAAAGCCTGAGCCCTTTAAAAGAAATAAAACCTTCTGCTTCTTATCTTTGATTCTGTTTAAAATCAATCGAACATATGTAAATTTTCTTTAAAAAGTTAAATTACCAATTCATTTAAAGTCTCTGTTCCCTTAATTGTGAAAAATTGTTTCACTGTATCAAATGCAATATAATACCATGCCATTAATCTTCCGGTCTCTGTAAAAGAAGAATGTACTTTAAAAAAATAAATATGCCAAGTATTCATAGAATCATAGAATGCTTTGGGTTGGAGGTCATCTAGTCCAACCCCCCTGCAGTGAGCAGAGACACTGTTAACTAGATCAGGTTGCTCAGAGCCCCATCCAACCTGGCCTTGGTATTTTCTTAGTGTATTTTTTTTAAGTCACAAAATTGAATTAACTTTCTTATTACGGGGCTCTATGAGATTTACCATCGCTGACTTGGTATGCTATTGCCCCCAGCTGTCTGATGGATATTACTGACCCCATCACAGAGTCACAGACATACACACCAGTTACAGTTTTCTCCAATGGAGATGAATTCACATGAATATACCAGACTGTGAACTGTGGTTGCTGAGAAACCAACCACCTCTAGCAGAGGATTGTAGAGAAGAGCAGGTATTGAGAAGACCTGTCCTTCATTGCACTCTGTCACATCCAATTATCCTGTGATAATATTCTAGAATTTTCTCCTAATCATCTGCAACAAAATTTCCAGCAACAACAAGAGAAGATCTATTCATGGATCAACATTAAGAGGATGAACTTCCATGATTTGTTAGAAGAAACTTACTCATATATTCTAGTCAAACAATCTCTCAGGTTCTACTCTCTACTACATTTGTGTACTCTTATTAATGGGTCACAAGAAGAGTTGTGACCCTTTGTAGTTCACTACTATCTATCTCAACATCACTTCTGAAAACAAGTTTATTTTTAAAAAGTGTTACCTGTTGGTTTGAAATTATTGGCTTCATCCATCCTGATCAAATCAAAAGATGATAAATCATTTAAATTCTTCAAACACAGTTCTGTTGACAATTTGGAAATACATGTATTTTTAGTACATACAGAAAAACTTATCTGTGTACAAACGAGAAACATCGTCATCAAACTGCAATGAGTAAAAAAGCTGAACTCATGTGAAGGGTTTAGAATATGATCCTGCTTCTACTAAAGCTGGTGGGTACCTTCTGCCTGGGGAAAGCTCACTCGCAGATATTTGATACAGGACAACCCAACTCTTTTTCAGTAAAGCAAAAGTAGCAAAAGTTACTTTTCTAGTAAAAGAAACTAGACGCATGGAACGTAGGCTGCCATATTCAATTCAGAATGACAGACCGGGGAGCTCACAGTAGTTAAACAAAAGATTTCTGCTATAGTGTTAACACTGAAATGGTTGAAATTTCAAATATTCATAGGTATTTATGAATCCTTCATCAGAAATGTCCATACTGTATCAGGTGCATTTGTACTTATTTCACTAAACCTATCTAGTGAGATATCTGCATAAGGATGACCGAAGTGTTTTGTTTTTCTCTCTTTCAAAACTAAGGTAATTAGAAGGCAAAAATTACATTAATACAAATTTAAATTTGTTCAGAATTTAAAAGCAAGCTGGGAAAGCACTCAAAATGATAGTTCCCAGAGCAATAGAAATCATTCACTTTGCACATGAAATGTATAAAGACATAAATAACTATATGCATCATTACAAAATATTTCATATGTGCAGGGAAGAGGGGCTAGTTTCTGTAAAAACCTTAAAAAGAAGTTGTTTTTAAGATCAGAGCACTTCAAAGAAATATAATCCACACCTAAAAAGCACTTGTAAGTGAAGCTTTCTACACTAGCGGCAGGGTAAAGGTGGTTTCAAACCATGCCCTCTAGAAAACAGCTGAAAAGGCATATGAACTAGGTAATTTTTCTCACCGGTAAGTACTTTTTTTCCTATCTGCAAGTCACAGTCAATGTGTCTCGTATTTGGAGACTTCAAGCAGTAGTGTATATACTAAGTGTATTCCTGGAGACGGGTCCTTGAAACCCTCACACAATGAACAGCCTCAGCGTAGTTCCAGCAAGCCCAACATCAGTAACAATTTTTTCTACACAATTGTGTAGAATTTAATGAATGTGTAAGTGGAGTTCAAGTATTGGCTCTACACATTTCAGGGCATATATCAGTCTGTGTTTTCATGTACCAGCCCCCCTCCAGATATTTAAGCTCCAAATGGTTTAGTATATGAATATACAGAATTATGACGGACATGAGGACTTTCACTGAAGAGAGAAAAATGCATTTGCAGATTTGCAGAAGTCCATTTACAATCTTAGCAAGTAGTCTTTTATTAATGTACTTATTTTGGATCTACTAGAAAACTTTCAAATGAGAGGTACTGATACCCTAGTATCTATTAACTATTTAGTCAGCTATATAAAAATATATATATATATAAATATAACTATTTAGTCAGCTGTATGTTTTCCAGTGGAATTGTAAATAACTAAAAAGCAGTATTTAAAAAAAAATTCAGTAACTGCGTTTTATTCAAGTCTTAGCAAAAAAAAAGCCTCTTAGAAGTAGTCTTCCAGTAACTCTTACAGTATTACGGGAAAAACATGGTGCTGCTGATTTTTTTAATTGTTTTTTTTTTTTTTTGTATCGGTAATGTTGGATGCCTCATTCTCACATTACTGCTCACTTGAAGAGCAAATGTAATTTCTTAATTATGTATTTGCATTCTCTTAGTTCTTTGCTATGGTATTATGCGTTTGCTATTCATATGCAAATTTTAAAACTAAATTTAGAATTAAAATAGCAAAATAATTCTTAAGAATCTAAGATCTATTGAATCCATGCATCTGAGATATAACTGATACTGTATGAAACTTTAAATGCACAGAAATCTTCGAAAGGCTGCAAGTCTTCCTTTGACGGCCCTAAGCAAAATGAGTAATTCAGTCCATAACAGCCAAATTTCAGGTAACACGGAAATGATAAACTAGAATGTACATCTCCAATGCAAAATGTCATGGTTAGAGAGTGGAATTCTCAGATCATTCTAGTCCAGCTGTCTGAACGGCAAACCCATACAATACAAGTATTGTGACTTACCTCTACAAAAATACAGAATTTAAGATTTGCTCCTATCCTCCAGTTCACCAAGTCCATCACTGGACAAGATCCACCACACTCTGGAGTTCTCTACAATTCCTTTTCCACATTATTTATCCATTTTTGAATGACCAATGTAAAAATATCGATCATAAAAAAAATTAATGTATTCTCTCTTCACCTACTTTTTATTATTGTTGTCTAACATGCTATAACCATGCAATT